GGAATGGTGGGGGGAAAACGGGAATGGGGGGGAAAACGGGAATGGGGAGGGGAATGTCAGGGAAAATTGGGGGAAATAGCGGGAAAATTGGGGGGAATGTTGGGAAAATCGGGGGAAAAATAATGGGGAAAATATCAGGAAAATCGGGAGAAAAATGGGGGAAAATATTGGGGAAAATTGGGAAAAAATGGGGAAAATATTGGGGAAAAAATTGGGAAAAATAGGAAAAATATTGGAAAATATTGGGGAGAACACTGGGGAAATGGGGGAAAATATTGGGAATATTTTGGGATATTTTTGGGATGTTTGGGGTGTCGCTGGGACGGGATTGAGTCCCTTTTGGGGCTGCTTAGGGCCATTTTTTGCAGGGTTTTGGGGGATTTTTGGGATTTCCAGGGATTTTCCGGAACATTCCGGGATTTTCCAGGACAATCTCTCACCGCCAGGAAGGATTTCTCCAGGGCGAAGCGCACGTTGGGTTTGGGATGGGTTTGGGATGGGTTTGGGGCCGTTTCGGGGCCGTTTCTCGCGGGGTTTTTTGGGGATTTTCGGGATTTCCAGGGATTTTCCGGAACATTCCGGGACTTTCTCTCACCGCCAGGAAGGATTTCTCCAGGGCGAAGCGCACGTTGGTCTCAATGCTGGTTCGCTTCTTGCGCCGCCGCCCCGGGAGCCCCTCGAAGCCCCCCAGGGAGGGGGGGCCCAGCGAGGGGGGGCTGGGCAGGGTCGAGTCCACCGACATCGTCTCTGGGGGGGGAGGGGCAGCGCCCTATAGAGCCTGGGGAGCCTATAGGGCCCTATGGACCCTATGGACCCTATAGAGCCTGGGGAGCCTATAGAGCCCTATGGACCCTATAGACCCTATAGAGCCTGGGGAGCCTATAGAGCCCTATGGACCCTATAGACCCTATAGACCCTATGGAGCCTGGGGAGCCTATAGAGCCCTATGGACCCTATGGACCCTATAGAGCCTGGGGAGCCTATAGGGCCCTATGGACCCTATAGACCCTATAGAGCCTGGGGAGCCTATAGGGCCCTATGGACCCTATGGACCCCATAAACCCTATAGAGTCCATGGAGCCCATAGAGCCCTATAGAGCCTATGGAGCCTATAGAGCCTGTGGGGTTCCTATGGGGTTCCTATGGGATCTATGGGGTTCCTATGGGGTTCCTATGGGATCTATGGGGTTCCTATGGGGTTCCTATGGGATCTATGGGGTTCCTATGGGATCTATGGGGTTTCTATGGGGTTTATGGATCCATAGGGTATCTATAGGGGATTTATAGGGTCTATGGGTCCCACCTGCGTCCCTCAGCCAGGTCTCCAGCAGCGGTTTCAGCTTGCACATGGGTTCCTATGGGGTTCCTATGGGATCTATATGGGATCTATGGGGTTCCTATGGGATCTATGGATCCATAGGGGATCCATAGGGGATCTATGGGGTCTATGGGTCCCACCTGCGTCCCTCAGCCAGGTCTCCAGGTTTCAGCTTGCACAGGGGTAACTGTGGGGTTCCTATGGGGTTCCTATGGGATCTATGGGGTTCCTATGGGATCTATGAGGTTCCTATGGGATCTATGGGGTTCCTATGGGATCTATGGATCCATAGGGGATCTATAGGGGATCTATGGGATCTATAGGTCCCACCTGCGTCCCTCAGCCAGGTCTCCAGCAGCGGTTTCAGCTTGCACATGTTCTTGAAGCTGAGGTTCAGCGCCTCGAAGCGCGAGATCGTCGTCTGGCTGAAGTCGTTCCCGTAGAGCTTCCCCATGGCCAGGCCCACGTCCCCCTGCGACCCCAAAATCCACTTGGGGGGACCCCAAAATCCCACGGGGGGACCCCAAAAAATCCACCCAAAAAATCCTCAGAAAATCTCCCAAAATCCCCCCAAAAATAAAAAAAAAATCCCAAAAATTCCCAAAAAAATGCCAAAAAAATACCAAAAAAACCCCAAAAATCCCAAAAATATCCCCAAAAAATCCCCCAAAAATAAAAAAAAATCCCAAAAAATCTAAAAAAAAATCCCCCAAAAATTCCCCAAAAATCAAAAAAATTCCCCAAAAAAATCCCAAAAAATCCCCCAAAATTCCCCCACAAATCCAAAAAAATCCCAAAAAAATCCCCCCAAAATCCCAAAAAAATAAAAAAAAAAATTCCAAAAAATCCCCCCAAAAATCGCAAAAAATCCCAAAAAAACTCAAAAAAATCAAAAATCCCCAAAAATCCCCTAAAAAATCCTCAAAAAATCCCCAAAAAATCCCCAAAAATCCCCAAAATTCCCCAAAATCCCCCAAATTCCCAGAGCTCACCTGGGTGAAGCCCAGCTTGATCCTCCTCTGTTTGAAGGTGCGGGCGAACTGCTCCAGCTCCTCCAGGTCGCTCGGCTCCTCCGGGGGAGGCCCCGGGGGGATTTCGGGACATTTTGGGGACACCCCCGGGGGTCCCGGGGATTCGGGGACCCCCGGGCGGGGCCCGGGCTGGGGAGAAATCCCAAAAAAAAAAAATATAAAAAATTTGGGGTTAAAAGAGGGGGAAAGAGGAGAAATCCGAATTGGGGTGGTGGTAAAATAAAGCTGGAGGGGATGAAGCCAAAATTGCAGGAAATGGACCCAAAATCCACCCAAATAAATCCCAAAATCCCTTAAAAATAAATCCCAAAATCCCTTAAAAATGAACCCAAAAACCCCCAAAATAAATCCCAAAATCTCTTAAAAATAAACTCAAAATCCCTTAAAAATAAACTCAAAAACCCCCAAAATAAATCCCAAAATCTCTTAAAAATGAACCCAAAAACCCCCAAAATAAATCCCCAAATCCCTTAAAAATAAACTCAAAAACCCCCAAAATAAACCCAAAATCCCTTAAAAATGAACCCAAAAACCCCCAAAATAAATCTCAAAATCCCTAAAAATAAATCCCCAAAATTCCCAAAATAATTTGGGTTTTTGGGGGTGAATTTTGGGGTTTTTGGGGTCAGATTTCGGGGTTTTTGGGGTTTTTGGGGTCAGATTTCGGGGTTTTGGGGGTTTTTGGGGTCAGATTTTGGGGTTTTTGGGGTTTTTGGGGGTGAATTTTGGGGTTTTTGGGGTCAGATTTTGGGGTTTTGGGGGTTTTTGGGGTCAGATTTTGGGGTTTTTGGGGGTGAATTTTGGGGTTTTTGGGATTTTTGGGGTTTTTGGGGGTTAATTTTGGGGTTTTGGGGGTTTTTGGGGACCCCTCCCGTACCTGGGCGTGCAGCCCCCCGCGGGGGGGGTTGGGCAGGAGCCCCCCCGGGCTGTGCTGAGGTAGCTGAAAGAGGTTGGGGGGGGGCAACAGCCCTGGGGGGGGGA